AAGATAATAGTCAATCATTTCGTACTGAAAAGATAACGTCTGAGAGCATTTGTTGCAATAACGAACGTATTCATCAGGTAGCATGGGAGCACGAAGAGTATAAAGAAAAAGCGAAAGCTGAACGTTTAAGGAAAGAGCTCGGCTTGGACGACAGTCGTGATAGTCGTGCAAATGGAAGAGAGGGCAACCAGGTTGCTGCTCTTTCACCGTATTAATTCCGTTTGATGCGCAGTCTTATACAACTCTCACCCAGTTGTGCTATTCTCTTCGAAAAAATTTCTTCGAAATACGAATGACCCCATGAAACTCAAAATATGTCATCTGACTGGACATCTTTCCTTAAATTGTCATATTATTACTGAACAAATTCCTTACAAAATAAGAAACTTGCGCGGTGTCTTGAAATATGGACGACATTTCCGCATCTTGAAATGAGGGTTCATCAAAGAGTCAATAAATTTCGAACCAATTAGTCATTCATCAAATTTAAGATGAGTGGTAATTCGAGATATTATTTACGTTATTCACTGGCGAAATTTGAGAAGTATGAAAATGTGAGTTGCAGACTGAGTTTGTCTCATTCGACGATCACATATCAGTAATGGAGAGCGCTCGAGGGTCAGCCACGAACGTCTGGAGTACTTCATCACTGCCCGGAATTGTTTATACGAGTCGTATCGGAAAATCGACATCAAATAGCGGTGCAAAATCATAACACGGCTTTTAAACGAAATCGCGTGATCTTCAAAATTTACGAAAACAACTTCCACAAACGTTCAGTGCTTGCTGATATTTTTTTTAAAAACTGTCTTCAATCTCCCCAACATGTTCATTAGAGCGTCGAATAAAGTTTCCACTTGACGGGAAGTAATCACAATTGGTCTGGAATCACAGACTCAACTATACCACGAACCCAAATTATAAATGATGGTTGATCATTAAAGTAGATCGATTTAAATGCTTCTCGACGAGAATTATGCCCAAAGGGTGTTTCTAACTAGTGTCGCCTAATTTGAAAAACGTTAGCTCAACTCTAGCTCTGCATTTTTTGAAACTTTGGCTCCGAAAAAAAAAACTATCTTGCTGGTGTCAACTCCGGCTACCGAATTTGTTGTGCAATTTTGCGTCCTAGCACTGTGCCTATCATCATGAATCGGTTGAAAGTTGATCCCAAACGCACAAGCTCAGTGCAGTTCAGTCTGAGTTATTCCAGAGGACAGTATTGCTAACTTTTTTCTACAGCAGCTGTTTGGGAGTTTTTTCTGGAGTGAATCATTCCGGTGATTATAATGTTTTTTGGTTCATAACAGAGCGAAAGCGGAAGACATTTGGTGTATACTTTTTATGCGCAACAACCATAAATTTTCATGCGTAACTGTAAATACAATTTTTCCTAGATGTTTTTATTCTCATCATCGTCATGATTCATTCATCATTTTGAAAAATCACTAAAGTGTTTATCAAACATTATCGTAGCACTAACTTCGTTCAGAAATCGTTATGTTACGACTGTAACTCCAGAGGTGGTTCACTTGATCTAATTGTAAATGCATAATATTGCATGAGAAGATTGAATGTTTCTTTTCAGCAACAGAGCCTACCTATACAGTCGGAGTCTGTACATCTTCTGTAGTCTATGTATTCGATATTCATTCATTCATGTGATTGTAGTGGAAATATTTATCCTTGAAAATGAATTTTCGGTATTTCTTCATTGATGTTTGTAAATTTGATATTGATAATTGTAATCTGCATCCACTGTTCTATTGAGGTGAAGAATAAAATCGTTCGTTCTCTTGCAGCTGAAGTTTCATGTGTTTGTATGAGCAGTGCTACAACAGGAATGAGAATATGGCTTCAAAAATATCTTATTCTCTTGAAAACATTTTACAGAATAATAAATGCGTTGTTATTT